ATATATATGTTAGTTGGCCAATTAATTTCTTTCTATTTATGATAGAGATGGGGTCTTGCTCTTGCTCAGGCTGGTTTCGAACTCCTGACCTCGAGCAATCCGCCTGCCTCAGCCTCCCAGAGTGCTAGGATTACAGGCGTGAGCCACCACGCCCCCACGGCCCCAAATAGGTATTTTTGTTTAGTTTTTTGACTTGGGAAGTGGGAGGAAATATAAATATAGATGCACAGTGACAGAGATTATGTCAAATTCCTATTCTCTTGACTCTCCTAGACTAGTACTATCTGTGAAAATAATAATTTGTTTTAGATATTTTAGTGAGTGTGGTTGTGCATGAAATTTATGTCCTGTGAAATATTCTCCTGATTTCGGTAACTTCTGCAGTGAACACAGAACATACGGCTCTATGGTATTTACTGGAAGCGAGTTTGAAATGATTTCTTCTAAAATGAATAATCCTAAAGTCTGAAAATGTAAAGGCATTCTATTTAGAGTGCTTAGAATTAAGAGGGATTAAGATAGACTAAGAAAATGTAAACTTCATATAAACAGCCCTTTCTTTGTAGTTGAAATTCTAAGAAGAAGGATTACTGTAAAGCTACTCAGCTAAGCAGATAAATTACAAAATAAAATGAAGTATAGGTTGGCTGCCATAATTCTGAGTTTACTGCTTTGGTCTTTTTTTCCCCTTCTTGTAAACATTGTTAGAGTTAGCAGAAGAGGGTTATGCAATGTATAAAACAACACATACCTACAATCAGGTTGTTACAGTAACCAAGATAATAGTGATATAGGGTAAATTTCATTATTTGAGTGGGAACTTGGTCAGGTTTTAGATAAGCAGAGTTCAGAATTTTAACTTCTGGGCAAGATAGAATTTTCAGATAACTGAACTTTAATTTTAGAGATGAGAAAGGTTTATTAGATAAGCCTTCTTTGAATAGAACCATGTATAGGTGTGTGTGTGTATATATATATCTGTGTATAAATATATGTATATACACACAATATACACATTTACTGTATGCATATATATGTGTGCATGTGTTTGTATGTATATGTATATATAAAAACTGAATACATAGGCCTTTTCTGTGCTCTCCATAAGAAACTTGAATCAGAAATTTATTAAAGAACAAATGTGTTAGCTTTCATAGACTTACATTTTTATTTTCATGAAAGAAGAGTTTTTTAATCAAGAAGTTTGCATAATGTCCCTTATGATCCTATCTATATATAGTTTACTTAAGAGGGCTACTGATTTATATTTCAAAATTATTTTTGGATAATAGCAAATACTTTCATTAATTATTTTTTCTTTGAAGTGTTCAGATTTATTGAATTAGTTTCCCTATTCTCTGAAATAAAATTAATTTATTATATTTAATTGTTTTCTCATAGCTTATCTTACAGTGGGCCTTAGAAACATTATAAAAGATGACAAATATTTGCTTTTGCTTTTTTTTCAAAACAGAGATTCACTCAATTGCCTGGGCTAGAGTGCCGTGGTGTCAACCTAGCTCACAGCAACCTCAAACTCCTGGGCTCAGGTGATTCTTCTGCCTCAGCCTCCCGAGTAGCTGGGACTACAGTCATGCGCCATGATGCCCAGCTAATTTTTTCTATATATTTTAGTTGGCCAATTACTTTCTGTTTTTAGTAGAGATGGAGTCTCGCTCTTGCTCAGGCTAGTTTCGAACTCCTGACCTTGAGTGATCCTCCCGCCGCCTCAGCCTCCCAGAGTGCTAGGAGTACAGGCGTGAGCCACCTCGTCCAACAATATTTGGTCTTTTATCCCTTTTATACTTTATCCTGCTTGGCCCTCCCATTTCTTCCCTACAAAGAGATGTATTGCATGCATATACTATGAAGTGCCCACACTTTAGAGTAACAGAGACCTGGATATAAATCCTAGTTCTGGCACTTTTAGCTGTATGACAGAAGGCAAATTTTTTTTTTTTTTTTTGAGACAGAGTCTCGCTTTCTTGCCTAGGCTAGAGTGAGTGCCGTGGCGTCAGCCTAGCTCACAGCAACCTCAAACTCCTGGGCTCAAGCGATCCTCCTGCCTCAGCCTCCCGAGTAGCTGGGACTTACAGGCACAAGCCACCATGCCCGGCTGATTTTTATATATATATATATTAGTTGGCCAATTAATTTCTTTCTATTTTTATGGTAGAGACGGGGTCTCGCTCAGGCTGGTTTTGAACTCCTGACCTTGAGCAATCCGCCCGCCTCGGCCTCCCAGAGTACTAGGATTACAGGCATGAGCCACCGCGCCCGGCCTAGAAGGCAAATTTTAAAGGTCTAATCTTTAGTTTTCTCATCTGCAAAATGGAGATAATAGTTGTACCATCCTCATAGGGCTTTTTAAAAAAGGATTAAATTAGTTACAAGCATGTTAGTAATTTAACACAAGGCCTGACACATGGTAATACACTCAATGCTCTTAACTATTATTATTTGTATTTTATCAATGTAATTATTGTTGCTTATCTATGGTTATAATTTATTCTGAGATCAAGTTCCTAGATTAAATTTGGTTTGGTTTACTGAAGTTGGTCATCTCAACTCCTTTGACCCTGGTCTGAACCATCCATTTTCCTTAGCCCTTTTTTCTGTCTCACCAGAGAATGAGCCCAGGTGATCATACTCTATGCCTGTCATTTCAGCAGAGCAGGCTTACAGAGATACTGAAGAAGTAAAGTAAGGAGCCCAGCTTCTAGAATCAGAATGCTTGGGTCCAAATCCTGTTTTACTTCTTATTAGTGAGCTTACCTTAGGTAAATTACTTAATCCCCCTAGGTCTCATTTCCCTTATCTGTCAAATGGGATTAATAATATCTATCTTCATATAGATGTTATGAAGGTTAAATGAGTTAAAAGTATGTAGAACAGTATCTGGCACAGAGTACATGCTCAATAAATGTCAGCTACTAGTGTAGCCGTTGCTGTTTTTTTTTTTGTTTTTTGTTTTCTGTTTTTTTTTTGAGACAGAGTCTCCCTTTCTTGCCTAGGCTAGAGTGAGTGCTGTGGCGTCAGCCATCACAGCAACCTCAAACTCCTGGGCTCAAGCAATCCTACTGCCTCAGCCTCCCGAGTTGCTGGGACTACAGGCACTAGCCACCATGCCCGGCTAATTTTTTATATATATGTATATTAGTTGGCCAATTAATTTCTTTCTATTTTTTTTATAGTAGAGACGGGGTCTCGCTCAGGCTGGTTTTGAACTCTTGACCTTGAGCAATCCGCCTGCCTCGGCCTCCCAGAGTGCTAGCCTGCTAGCCGTTGCTGTTTTTATCATTTAATTCTCCAAGGCTTTGTTTTTAACGATGTTAATTTGTAAAATAATGACCTCTTGGTTAGATTTCTGAGACTATATATAAGACCCAGTCAGTGGAGTTGAGATCCAGTCCAAGAAACAGTTATTAAATGCCTACATATATTAAGTGCCCTGGGGGAGACATTTATGAAAAAGATATATTCCCTGCTCTCCAGGAGTTTATAAACTGGAGAGATAGGAGAGATAACATATGTTCAGGGGGTAACTATTATGCAGGGCAAAAATATTACTATCCTTTTTATAACATGTAAAAGGCAGCTTACAGGAGGTCTAGAGTAATTCTGAATGCTGGGGGGTTAGTTGGAAGTTCAGATGAAGAGAGCAGAAAGTTCATGGTACTTGAAGAACAGTAACTTGGACAACTTTGATGGGGTTGACTTAGAATGAGAGAGACACAGCACAGGTAAGAACACACCCTGTAGCAGGGGAAAGTGGGGTGAGGTAAAACTGGTAAGAGAGGACCGTGAGGAGGTGGAGTTGAAGTTGGCTCAAACATTTTGATATTAATTCTGGAGAGGATAATGATACCATTAAAAAGGATATGGGAAGCAGATTAGGTTTTTAGGAGAAAGATAAATTCCACTTTGGATCTCTTGAATTTGAGATGTAGGTAGGAGCCCTAGTTATGGTTTTGCCATTCTTGGAGGCTTCCGTAAAATCTTCTCTGTGGATGGAATAGTCAGATATTAAGACAGTATGGTTCCCAATAGATGCAGGTTTCCCTCAGATGTGACTTGCAGGGCCCCTACAATTGAAGACTTACTATGTAAGGAGACTTTCCTTGGCACATGGGACCCTCCTAACCCTCCTTCTCTGAACATTTTCTCACTTAGTCTCTGAATGACAAGCTGTGCCATCATCATTCTGCATGGTATATGGTTGTAACACCCTTTTGGTTTCATTGGCTTTTGAAATAGAGATGATTGGTTTTTAACTTAAAAAAAAAAATCCCTATTAAGCTATTTGATTAGGCAGTGTTGCCACAGTAGAAACAGGAGAAATACCCGTCATTCTCTTCTGGTCCGGATGTGCTTTGAGTCATCTTGCTTGGTTGTTTTACCTCAACAAAAAAAGGCTCTAAGTGAAGAGGAAGAAGAAGAAAAAGAGGTATATTAATGGTAAAATATTTTCTAGTGTAGAAAATTGCATTTCTTGGTGAAATAGCTATATAGCTATAATTTTTAGATAAAAAAGAGAAGAATATACAAACAACCAATACTTCCTGATCTATATGAGTAGCTGTTTCATTCACTATACTTACAGTGGTAAACATTTGCTAACAAAGTGTAGAGCATCTGGAAAGCTTTTTCTGCTGGATGGTGGTCCTCATGATATTTTCTTTGAGTTTTGAATTGGTGTTTTTTAGTCTTAGTAGGAGGACCCAGTGTTGTAGGAGGTTTTGAGCAAGAGGCAAGACTCTGGTACTTTGTGGATTGTTATCGCCTTGCAAGACCCTTCGCAACTTCCTCTTGCCGCCCACAGCAGAATACGGAAACCCTGCTATATCAGGCCACTTCTGCAATTATAGCCAGTTGCAATTCAAGGGGATCCTTCTTTAACACTACATTTTTCTGTTTTTAAGACACATTTGAAAATGTGTCTTTTGAGGTGGAATACTCTACTGACCCTTCATCTGTCCTTTCTCTTTGCTGCCCTGCAGTGCTGCAGTTGAAGCTCCAGCAGCGCCGGACCCGGGAAGAACTGGTGAGCCAAGGGATCATGCCGCGTAAGTGCCTCTCTCTCTCTCTTTCTCAGCATTTGATAGAGTTGCTTTTAGGACATGGTTATGTGTACCCAGTATGCCATGGGAAATACCTAATGTAAAACAAGGACTACAGATTTTGTTTTCCATTCTGTCTTTCTTGTGCTTTTCCAACTTAAGGGACTCTTAGTTGCTAAATAGTTAAGATAACTAATTGATCAAGTTCAGTGAAACAAACAACATTAGGTTTAAAGCTTACCATTGAAGCATCCTTAGCTTTGGAATTGCACCTTTAAAAGGGTTGCTAAGCCCTGTACACTTCCATTTATAGGAGGGGCAGATCTTGAGCTGGAGGCTGTGGTATTGTGAGGAAGAACCCACTTCTTCTATATGCTTTTGCCTTTGTGTTCAGGTTCTTAGGAAGAGAAACCTCTTTACCAGATGGTATTTTGAATCAACTACAGTTTTCTTTAGAGTGAGGTCCTCAGATACCCTAAGACTGGCATGGGTGTGAACATGGCTGAGTGGAGTAGTTCACAGTGCCGGGCTCAGTAGGTGCAGAACTGCATCCCATGGGGGAGAAATGAAACCAAACCTTGGAATCTTAAGAAGTAAGAAAATTTGCTTTTAATACTAACCACATTATAAAGGGAGTAGAAGCTAAAGCCAACAAGATACTGCTCTTTCTGACATTTCTTTTTTAAGTTATTATCAGAGAACATAGGCTGTCCCTCTTTTCTGTTTGTATGTTATCGCCAGTTGAATATGCTCTAATGAAGTTTAAAAAAATGTCTTACAACTACTTGTGGCTTTGTAATGGGAGAACTGATGTTTTTTCACGTTAACTCAGTACTGACCTACTGCCACCATATTTTCCTTTTATTCACTCATTCATTCAGAATATTTGAGTACCTAATATGTGCCAGTTGATACAGCAAGATAAATCTGGTTCCTGCTGTCAGATTTATATTTAGAAGGGCAAGATTAGTAATAAACAAGGAGGCAAATAAGATAATTTCAGAGCATGGTAAGTGCTGTCAAGTAAACAAACTGGTTGGTGTGTTAACAAGTAATAGGAATAAGATGGGGTCACTTTGGATAAGATGGTGAAGGAAGGCCTCCCAGAAGAGGAAATATTTGAGCTGAGATCTAAAGGGTGAGATGGAGCCAGCCATTCAAAAAGCAGGGAGAGGGCTCAAGGGAGAAAAAGAAAAACCTAAGGGCCTGGTACAGGTGAGAGCTTGACATGTTTAAAGAGCACCAAGGAAGCTAGTGTGTCTGGAGCATGGTGGAGGGGGGGAGTGTGGGGTAAGTGAAGACGGGCAAGGTCCCTTTCAAAGACATCATGTATTTAGTGTCTACTTTGTGCCCAGGGGAGTCCTGGATGCTATAAAGATTAAAGCAATAAGAGGCAGGGTACCTGCCTTCAAGACATTGAACAGCCACAATTTGGATAGCCAAAATTTACCCGTACACAAAATAAAGAGCAGTAGAATGCTGACTGTAATTACAGTACTAGTTCTGAGAGCATAATGCTACTTCTCAGGATTTGTAATATGTTCAGGATCTAAAAGCCACACACAGGGTGAGTGTCTTTCATTCTTTTTCCTGTCTCATTTAATAGCAGGGACTAGTGGGGACTGTCATTTAACAGGATTTATCAATTACAGTCTCCTTGCTTAGCATTTTTTGTAACATTCCATGTTGTTAAGACAAATGATGCTTCAGTTATTGTAGTTATATACTTCTGTGCCTGTATTTCCAACTAGACCACGAACTCCTTGAGGAAGTATCTTATTTATATTGCTGTCCTCAGTGCTTGGCGCTGAATGAATGAAAACAGCCAGTTGTAAAGTGCCATGTGTGCTTGTGTGTATGAGAAAGACAGACAGACAGAAACAAAACCGATACCAGTCTGTTTCAAACCTGTAGGAATTCTGGACACAGAATTTGAGATGCTTCCATTCTGTCAGAAGCCCAGATTCTAAAATTGTTCTGAATATTTAGTTGTATACTTTGGGCTGTTCTCTGTATTTGTGAAATGAAAATAATTGCCTTTCCTGTAGGAACAGAAATGACCTGCTTCTATTGAGAATATTGCATTTTCCCATCTACCAAGAGCCACCCTTCTATAGCTATGGACACAATCTTGTTATTCTACTTTTCTAGTGAAAGCAGTAGGTTGTAAACTCTTAGATTCTGAAAGAGAATGTTGAGGCCTAGGAGTAGTTTCAAGTGTGAATTCCCTGCTCATCCATGTACCTATTGATATATGGATAGATGAGGCTCATTTTTTTTTACCAGCCCCACTACAGGTGAGTGACCCTCCCTCATCACCACCCTGTGTCACCTCACTCCTGTTGTAATTTCCAGCACCTTCTGCCTCCCTGACACCCCTTCACCTAGCTGTCTTCTACTAGCCTCCACTCCATGTCTTTTAAAGAAAATGTGAGGAGTGCTGGGGAAAAATCATAAATAGCATATTTGAAGATTTGGAGACCTGAAAAAGTCACATCTCATTTGAAGTGCTTTCTTCTATTCCCATTCTGTTGGGAGTTTCTGAAAAGAGCCCTTGTGTTAATATTTAAGTTTATTGTACAACTTAGGAGGTAGGGAGGGCCCTCAAGCTAGGGAAAAAAACAGGATAATAATGGCTATATTTTGTCTCATCATTTCTGGTTTGTACCTTTTATCAAATTCTTCTCATTCCAGTCTTTTCTAGCTCTGGGAAGGAAAAAACTCATCCACCTCATTTCCCAGAACACTCACACACAGTTGCCATGTAGGACTTGCTGTCAGTACTGACATCGTATCTGTAGGACTCAGTGTGCTTCAGTGACTCCCTTCCCTTCAGGGTTGTTCACATTTCTGTATATTATTGAAAGTTGGGTTGTGGACTTTCCATAAAGTTTAGAGCAGAGGTCCCCAACCTATTTGGCACCAAGGACCAGTTTAATGGAAGACCATTTTTCCAGTGGGTGGGGGAGGCAGAAGTCAGGTGGTGATGCAAGTGATGAGGAGTGGCTATAAATATGCTTGCTCAATCGCCATTCACCTCTTGCTGTGTGGTCCCCTGGTTCCTAAGTTTCATGGAAGACTATTTTTCCATGGGCGGGGGAGGGGGAAAGCAGAGCTCTGCAGCCCAGTCCTGCCCAGGGGTTAGGGACCACAAGTTTAGAGGATTAAAGAGTTCCCCAGTTCTCACATTGCTGTTTCTTTACTGCTTGCTTGATATGCTCTGTTCATGGCATCTTAACTGTAGGGTATAGAAGTTGAACAGAATCATTTCCCAGTATCCTTTATTACATATATTTCGAATTTAACACCACTTAAACTCTGCCACATACAGAGGCTCACATAGTCCAGGCCCTGAACCTTCACTAATGATATCTGAAGCTTCTACATGTCTTGAGTGAGAGGGAAGATGGCACAGATAGGGAGCTAGTCTTCAAGTCCAAGGGTTAAGACCAGGAATGCTGCTGTATCCAGGATGATGACTCGCAGAAGAAAAGGATCAGGGAAGAATCACGTGTGGTACACTCTGTTCTCAAACAAAGCTTCCCCCGCAGCCTTTCTCTTTGACATTTAAAGGTGTACAAGGTCATAAGGTTAAGGTGAAAATTAAGAAAAATGTTCTGGCAGTGAGAGCTGTTACAGAGAAATAACCTTTTAAAGGAAAACATGGAAGTTCTCTTGACCCAGATAAATGAGGAATAAGTCTCCTGTAATCTTTCTGGATGTGAGAGAATCTTGTTTGTCTCTTCCTTCTCAGCCTTTTGTTATTTCATTGAGAATCCTTGGAAAAAAGCATGGAGTAGCATGTTTCTAGTGCTACAGTTAACCTCAAATCATTCATTTTCCCATGTGCAAGTAGTAGAAAAACTTTGGTATCTTGGCAAGCACATGAAGAAATAATTATGCTCTGTCTTCTTCAGTGAGCTTGTTTTCTTTCATTTAAATGCCATTTCGGTGCATCCAGAGTTGAGAAATTTCTTCTTACCTCCAACAAAAGGTTTTTAATGCTTGGAAGTGTCAGGATTGATCACTATGATCCATCCCTTTTCCTCTGAAGCTAAAATTCTTCTTAATAATATTTTTGTTACTCATAACTTGAAAATCATTACTTTACGTTATTCTTCACCAGAAGGTATAACCTAAGTTTCAAATTCTTTTTCCTGAGTGCATGTGAATCAAATCCATTTTGGTAAAGCTCTTTTAAAACTAAATTAAAGGCCAGGTGCAGTGGCTCACACCTGTAATCCTAGCACTCTGGGAGGCCGAGGCAGGCGGATCGCTCAAGGTCAGGAGTTCGAAAGCAGCCTGAGCAAGAGCGAGAGCCCGTCTCTACTATAAATAGAAAGAAATTAATTGGCCAACTAATATATATAGAAAAAATTAGCTGGGCATGGTGGCGCATGCCTGTAGTCCCAGGTACTCGGGAGGCTGAGGCAGTAGGATCGCTTAAGCCCAGGAGTTTGAGGTTGCTGTGAGCTAGACTGACCCCACGGCACTCACTCTAGCCTGGGCAACAAAGTGAGACCCTGTCTCAAAACAAAAACAAAAACACCTAAATTAAAAAAAAAATGGATTAGGTCATCAATCACAAATGAGATGTTCAGGATTTAGTAACCGATACACAGAATCTAGTATCCTAGGCTATTGCAGTTTGTGCAGAGATGATAATAGAGATCAAAGAATACAGGGACTACAATTTCTTTTATGATAGACTGAACAGATATATTAACAGCAATGATAATATAATAAAGATATAAAATGAGCAAAACCCCCTACATCTTTAAAAAATAGGCTTTATTTTTTAGAGAAGTTCTAGGTTCACAGCAAAATTAAGCAGAAGATACAGAAAATTTCCATATACCCCCTGCTAAAAATTAAGTATAATTTTTAGGTTTTTAGTTTTTATAACTCTTTGGAAGATAAACCAACTTCCTGAAGTTTCAGAGTTTCTTGTAATAAGAAAAGGAGTATGATTTAATATTGTCACTATTAGGCCATCTTTATTAAAT